TTTCCGCTAAGCCGGCGACTTGGCTCCCTCTCCGCCGTGGAGAAATGGGGTGTTTGGGTGTTTTTTTTTTTTTTAACTGCCCCCCATATGGGGGAGGAATCTGGCAGTGGTACCCAAACCGCGAGTGGCCGGAGCAGGGGGGTGTTTTTAGGCTCCTCAGGTGCCCCCAAAACAAGCCCCTCACCGCTTCCTGCCCCCGGCGGCCTGGGACCCTGCTGGGGCGCAAAACCCCAGAAAACGCGGCGTTCGTACGTATTTAGGCCGAAACACAGCTGGCGCTCAGGCCTGCTCCTGAGCGCCCCGGTGATGGCCGCAGGTGTGGGGACAGGGCAAAACCGCCGTGTTTCTGGGCACCGCGGGAGTCGCTAGATGTCATTGTCGGCTTTGGGCTGCATCACGGATGCGGCTGGAAAAGGGGGCTTCGCCCAGGGCCGATGCTGCGGCTCCGAAGGAGAAGAAACGCTAACCGCCGAGGGACGTTTGAACAGCACCTTCGTACTTAACCGTCGGCAGAAGGGCTGTTATCGTAAAAGTAGCGTCCTGCTGCCCTGCAGCATCGGCTTCACGCTTCATCAGCCCGGCCAGCGACGCTTCCACTTTCCCCTGTTAAAACTCGCCATCCCCTTGCTCAACGAGTCGCAGCCCCGGTGCCTGCAGCCCAAACTCAAAAACTTATTCGCAAAGCTGATTTTTTTTTTTCCGAAATAGCGGCCCGGGAGAGCACAGGAGAGTGGGTCAGCCAGGGACGTCTGGCCGTGTCCCCCTACCTCTCCAGGGGCGGCAGTCCGAAACTGCACCAGCGCTAAGCAGACATTACCTTTCTTAGGATAAACATAGTTCTAACTCTGCAGGAACTGACCCAGAGCCATGAGAGGCCGAGTTACCTCTTTTGCTGGTCAGCTGTGTCACAGCTGATCAGTTTCCCACAAACATTTTGTCTGCATTTAATTCCACTCGAAAACTAAAACTGGCAAGGTGTTTTCCTCCCGTTTGCCAACCCTTACAGGTCGGAAACATCATCTTTGCAAATAAGTTTTCAGCTGATCTGTTCCAGAGCTGTCCCTGCTCGCTTCCAAGCATGCATGGCTTCACCAGCCAACACACAAGGAAGCGTGGGGAAAAAACTGCTTTCGTGTTTCGGTTGGCATGTCGGAAATGAGAATGGGTGAGAAGACAACACCTTTTCATGACTTCTGCTGTTTGAAAGCAGTTAACTTCTTGGCAGCTGGGGTCTTATTAGAAGGAGGAAAAGGTGGATTTCTTTTTTTTTTTTACTTGCTATATTTCCTATAGTAACAACAAAGGAAGAGTGAGAGGAACAAAAAAAAAAAAAAAGAATTTTTCCCTGTGAAATATCTCAGAGGAAACAGTACTCCAGCTCGCACTAGCAGTGCACTGCTCTTTGAAACACAGTTCAGCCTATTTTTCAAGCAAAACACATAGAAATATTGTAAAAGCTGCAAAGATATGAGACATTCCCCTTTGCTTGTGCGTATCAGTCACACCTGAGAACGTCATTGGTCCCGTTTCACTGATGGTTCATGGAGTCTTCACAGCCTGCACAGCAGGGTTGTTTCTCTGAAGCAAAGTGGCTATTGCTATAAGCCCCAGGCCCACAGAGGTATGGAGAGCAGGAGGCCACAGAGGTGACCTGGTTGGTGATGAATTGTGTCCTCCTAGGGCGTCACATAGCGACTGTGGCAAGCACTGGTGATTTCTGGCACTATTTGTGCACCCAACCCCACTTTTTAGATCAAGGGTTTCTGATTGGGCTGGAGAAAGAGGGGACCTGAGCCACAACTACTCTGAAACAGGCCAAGGACTACCTCCTGCAAAATGAGGTGGGAGCATCCCTCAGCCACCAGGATGAGGGATCCACATCAGAGGTCTGAGACCAAGAGGGTACTAGAGTGAGGCAAGGTAGCGCCAAAGACTTGTCCTTTAGACCTGGTATTAGAGACTGGAGACACTGCAAAGTCACCACAGTCGAGGGTCAGAGCCTGCTGTGCATGCCACAGTGAAACCTGAACATACCAAAAAGGATGGCTAGACCACCCTGGCAACTGTGGACCAAGTCCATGCTTCACCAAGGCTACTTAGTGCCAGTCCCATGAGAAGCCATCCAGGCATCACTGCCTGCTCAGAAACCAAAGAGATAGCAAACCCTGGCTCCCCCCAGCCACGCCCATGTCTCTTTTTAAAAGACACTAGACTTTTATTATGATACAAAAGTAAAGCAAATAAATAAGTGACACCTGTCAAGAAAAAAGTTTTTTCTATAAATAACAATATAAGAGTAAAGTGATATACAGTGTTCCAGGTCAGAAAAGAGACAATAAATTATCCTGAGCTCATGCGACATCATGCCTGGTACCCCAGGCAAACCTAGGAAGGCCACCTGACAGCTCGAGTGCTCACAGCCTGACCTAAGAGCACTTGGCTGCTGCTGGGACGGGCACCAGCCCCTAAGAATTACTAAAACACAGGCAGGGAGAGTCCAATACTTAGTCCTGAGCCCTCAAAGCCCTTCCACCCACTAAAAACAAAATTACTAACTGCACTGTGCAGTTATAGATGCGCTAGCCAAAAGCTCCAGATGCTGTTTCCCACGGCACCTTAATGTGTAATTGGGACAGAACACAGCAACTGCCATCTGGGCCAGAATCACATCTGGATTGGGGGGGGGGGCGGTGTATGAAGCATCAGAGGTGTTTGAAAGCTGTCTTTTTATAAAAGCCCTGGCCACACACCTCAATGAACCAGGGTGCCTAAATCCCTCCTGCAGCAGCACATAATCTTGGTGAAGTAAGGCAACACCAGAAGGCAAGGGGACACACCAGGTTCTGTCATCTGGGTTTTAGAAGCCAAAACAAAGGCAAAAATACACCAAACGGCGAGCAGGACTGGAGAAGGCACTTCTGTTCCAGGCTGCAAGCACTCAGGAAGACTTACTCTTCGGGCTGCCTTGTTCTCACCCGGGGCCTGATTCTGCAGCCATGTGGGAACCCCTTTGCCACAACTGCATGGAGCTAAGATCAGGTCAAGGGCAGAGGAGAGGCAGGACCAGACCTGGGATAGAGCCCTGCTGTCGTGGCAGTGGCATGCCCTGCAGCTCACTTCCGGTGTTTGCTCAGACCCTGTTCATCTTACTGCAACTGTAACGATACAGTTCGTGGGTAGGAGCAAGGGACTTTGATTTGTTGCAATCCAAGCAAACATGGGAATCAAATTGCCCAGGAAAAAACAATCCGGCTGATTCTTCTCCCAGCACAAGTGTCTCTCCTAGCAGCACACAGTAACAGGCAACACAAGTGACCCTGGGTTCAGAAGCCCTTACAGTCCCTCACAACAGTCAGGGACACCATCTAATTGGCACCCCAGCCTCTCTACTGAAAATGGTTTGTGCTTCCTGGTACTTCAATAGTGAACGAGTGAGATCAGCTGCCTTGCCACAACCACAGCACCATCAGGCAGAACTGACCTGATGACTAAGCTCCAGGAACTGCAGCACACAGCTACCAGACAGGGGCCTCTGTGTTTGGAGATTTCCTCCCAACCAGCAGCAGTTTAGTCCTGTAGCTCAAACGCTCAGGTAAGAGCTTAATGTCTAGCTTGGACCAAAGAAGCACAAATATGTCTGCATCCCCAGTATCTCCATCGGGCAGACACAGCTGTAAACTGGTTGTAGTTTTTGCTCTGAAACAGTGGTAGCTGATTCTCACCAGCTGCTCAAAGTTCAACATCCACAGTGTCCTCCTCGTGGTCCTTGATGTCTGTTGAGTCTGCAGCAGCAGGCTGAATCACTCCAAACTGAGTCAGCTTTGCCTTCTTCTGCTCCATGCTCTGCTTCCTCCATTTGATCCTCCGATTCTGGAACCAGACTTTCACCTAGCAGGAAAACAGCATGACAGCAGAGTGAGCCTCCCTGACTCTGCATGTCCAGGCCACGGCACTTCCAGAGTCCCCCAGCTGGGCTAACAAACAGCAAGTCCAAATCTCCAGGACCCCATTTCCAATGGTGAGTACTGCAACATGCTTCTGAGAGAGATGTCCCCAAAAAGCAGAGTTCCTTACAGAGGGGGACTCACAGTGAGTGTGAGCAGGAATAGGCATCACTATGGAGGACAGAACAATCTGGGAGAAAGCAGCAGGGCAGATGGGGGAGGCAGCTGCACAGGGAAGGCTGCCTGAGGGAAGAAAAGGGCTAGAAATAGCCCTTGGGTGCCAGGAGCCACAGATGCCAGGGACACCCAGCCACCCCTATGCCTGCTCTCCGGCTGTTCACACCCTCCCTAGCTCTCCCATCACCACTCCATCCCCTTGCTTTGCTCTCTCTTTTCCTCCCAGCTGAATTTTCTACTTGGATCCCATCAGGAGAGACTGCACGAGTCCTCCTTTCCACAATAATGAAGTGGCTTTCAGCCGGAGGGAACCACGCAACCAATGTCACAAAAGGACACTCGCTGCACAACCTGTCTCCAGATTATCTTAAATCTACACAGCAGGAGGGAAACACGCTCAGAGGAGTGGAAAAAAGTTTAGAACCAATGTCACAAAAGGACACTCGCTGCACAACCTGTCTCCAGATTATCTTAAATCTACACTAGTCCAATCCATCTCAACTCCAAAGCAAAGAAGGTCTGGGCTCCAAAATGCTTTTTTATTCCACTTCGTAGATAATAAGAACATCCTTTTTTTATTCATAGAATGTCTAAACCTATCCTGCATTCCTTCAAGCATGTTGTTTGAATGTTATCTTGCAGCAAGGAGTTCCATAGGTCACTTGGCATCATATCCTCCCCTCCAGCCGCTCTTGGAGGGGGAAATCACCACAGGCCGAACCCAGATCCCGGATCCACGTCTCTACCTTCAGCTCCCTTACTCCTTACCTGAGTCTCAGTGAGATGCAGGGTTGCAGCTAAGTCTACTCGCTCCGTGCCCACCATGTACTGCTGCTTGAGGAACTCTTGCTCCAGCCGCTCCAGCTGTTCTGGTTTGAAGACTGTGCGGACCCTCTTCATCTTACAGGGCCCCCCAGACCTCCAAGGCACAGGAGGGCCCAGCGAGCCAGCACCTACACAGTGAGACAACTCCAGACCTGCAAGCAAGGAGCAGGAATCAACATGCAGCAATCGAGGCGGTCTTCGCAGCTCCCAGTAAACCCCCAGTGCCAGCATGCTGGCTGTGCCTGCCCTATCAAATACCAAGCCCAGCTCACTTCAGCTGACACTGAGGTCCAAGTATGACTGCGCTACAACATGCTGCACAAAAGTACATTGAGTGAAAGCAGCAAAAACACACCAAGAAGAGAAGCAGGGCTAACCTAACCACTGATACAACCTAGGACAGTCCTGGGCATGCAGACAGACCCAAAGCGGACAGCTCAGTAAGGTGAGCAGGATTTGACCCCTACTGATACCTGAACTTTATACCATAACAAAATCCATCAAGAGCTTTTCAGTACAAAGACCTCTCCTCCGGCTCAGCGAGTCCCTAATCACAAGTGTCTAAAGGCTGGGAAAATTTACCCCACGCCGACTCCCTGCTTTTATCCTTCCCTTGGTATCTGCATTTGGCCAGGATCTGACCAAAGACACTGAGCCAAGAAGACTCTGCCTTGATGAAGGCTGGCTGTCCACAAATGCACCAGCCCTCTTGTAGCTCCTTACCCCCACTCCCTTGGCTGGAAGAACTGTGCCTGAAGTTACTCATGTGCAGAGGCATTAGCAGGATTGACAACTGGATCTGGTCTCTGCATCAAGCACAGCCCCTCTATTTAGTTTTGGCCTGACGATAAAAATAATTAACTAATTAGCATACAGTACAACATCAGCACTGTCACATGATCCACTTGCACTGGACTAAGTGCAGTGCCGCTTCTACAGCCCACAGCGTGGCACAGGCTTGGATTCACACCCATCTTAGTGAACAGCAGTGTGTGATTGCATTACCCACGATCATCCCCGGGGAGGAGGCACAGGACTGACTGCAGCCAGCTCTGTCCTCCTGACCAGCCTTTAGATGAGCCAGATCTCCCTGCAGGAAGAACTGCAGGATGGAGAGACCGTGAACCCACAGCTGACTAAGGAAAGGGGGCTGCAGTTGTCAAGGAAAACTCTGCATCCAAAACACTGGTTCTGGAATCGTTAACGGGTACACGTAAATTAATTCAGACTCTGCACATTGGAGCGTAAAGCATTCAAGAGACAGACAAGGCAGTCCAGCTCGCTGCCAACAAACTGCTGGACACAGGGACCTCTGCTCCTGCTCTGTGCCCCAGAAAGCCTCCACACAGTGGGACCTGTCTACCCAGATGAGATGACTGGTCACAAGTAGGCGCTGAGCGTAATGAAAACATCCGAGCATCAAAATACAATTGTGATTACGTTAGGAACTTGTTAATGCCAGCACTGAGATATTTCTGGTGGTGAAACTATTAAGCTGATAGAACGATGTGTTTCTGTCCTGCCAACACTCAGGCAGATGCTTAACTTCAAGAAAGAGAGCTCATTAGTACAGCCAACAGGCCTGCTCTGGGGCAGAAAGGAGAGCGTGCAGGCACGCGTTTGCAGGATCTGGTTGTGAACAGTCAAACTACAGTTCTGAAAAACCAGCAACGTGATCTTGCCCTGACACCAGGTCTGCTTTGAGCAGAGCGTTGTATTCAGCCTGCAGAGGTCTCTTCACCCCAAGTTATTTTATGATATAACTAGGGTATAGCAGCTGCAGCATACTACAGCCACGCGAGACATTTGACTGTCGTAACATCTGAGAGAGTTTCTTTAACTCCTGTGAAACTGCTACACAAAGCAATGCTGATTCATAGCAGCTACTTAGCTCTCATTTAATGACTGATGTTGTAACGTTCTCCAGACAAACGAGCACTTCAACCTACTTCATCTCACCCCTCATCCATTAGGTAGAGGTTATGCAGGTGTTTAAGGATTTGTGTGACAGAGACCTGACAACTTAACAACCATAATTACACTTAAAACTATTTTCATCACTAAAATAATCTCACCACTTTTTTCCCCCCCTATTTTAATACTTGGATAATAGCATATGTAATTTTAAATGTGAAATACTCTGTAGAAATAAATAGTTTTGCAGGCTGCCTACTATATTTTCCATATCTGTACATTTGATATAATACAATAGAATAACATACATAAATACATAGATGCTGTCTAGTATAAGAAATAATACATATTAAATAGCTATACTAAGTAGTTAAAAATAGATTGACTGTAGCAAATGCTTCAGGTACCTGAATCTTGCAACTACCAGAACCAAATCTGAATTCCTAATAAAAGTGAAGTAACTTCTTGGATGTAGATTAGAGGTTTTGTCTGGGCAACAACCACAGCATCAGGCTCTGAAGACTGAGAGTTACTGAATTTCAAGAAAGTTTAAGGGGTCGGCTATTCTGAATTGAAGCACTTCATCAAAACAAGTGAGTAATTTCTGTTTTTAAAGTCTTACTATACAGCTCAATGAAAATACAAAAAAAAGTGGTGGACTAGCCTGTATCATCCATAACCACAGTGTAACTCTACCAGTCTTCCCGATTGGGTTTTCTGGGTTACCAGGACCAAAAATCAGTATTCTTTTCTTTAAAAAGTAAATAATTAAATCCCACAAACAGCAATAAAAGCTTTTCCTTTAGGTGCTTTTGCACTAAACGTGCAAACAGTTGTTGGGGCCAGACGCTGCAAAATACACAGCGATTTCACTTCTGAGAGGTCCCAGGGAGAGCAAAGTCGCACACGGACAGGGGTGGCTTTAGCAGAAGGGGGCCCCACGCAACACCAGAGGGGCGTGCATGGCGGAGAAATTATTGTCAGGGGTGAGACGTGGGGAAATTACAAGTTTTCACAAACGTGATGAAAGCACAATGCACTGAAGTGCCTTTCTAGTGCATGAAAAGAAAACTCAGTTTCACCATATGCAAAGCAACCCTTACAACGCAGGTAGAGGGTACACGTGAAGAGACTGTCCCATACCCAAAACCTTCTACAAAAAAGCAAGCCTGAAGGAAATAGTGTCATCATCTCACTTCAGCCAGTCATTTAGCATTGATAATTAGTATCAGCCACTTACCCTCAATCACTATAGAAGGGAAAAGGGGAAAAACAGTCAGGAAATGCTTTCCTCTCCCTCCCTTTTTTCTACTGCCTCATCCTTTTAAGTCTCTGAGCTCTGGAGTTGGAAGGGAGGCCGGATGAAATGAAAGCAGCAGGGGGGGAAAATGGTAAGTTTTTGTCACCCAAAGCCCTCCTGGTTGAGCAAGAGCAAAACCAAAGCCACATGCAAGCAGCTGGAAGAGTCATGCCAACAGAGCGCCCAGGCAGAGGGGCCCTGTGCCCGACAGTCGCACGCTGCACAGACACACGCACCCCAGATATACGCAGGCGCTGTGCACCACCTCACATGGCTCTGCTGGTTCGCTGCCCCCCCACAAGTACACCGCTATAAGGAGACACACCAATACACTCCCTAGGCATCTCCTCCTTTATTACAAGCATACATGCTATACAGTCTCCACAAATACACACGTGCCGTTCAGAAACGTGCAACCACACTCCTTGCATAGGTACATCCACAACACCCTGCACCAATACACACACACACACACACACGCGCTCCCTTATCAGGAGGTAAAAGCACTCCTCCATACACACTCTCTTCACCAATACACATGTGCTATGGATACACATACGCACCCTCATCCACACCTGGAAGGCAAGAACTCCTACACCCACACACTCGGACACATACCCATGCACACCAGCGCACACACACCCCTCCAAAGGAGGGGCATGCTTTTGGACACACTCCCTACACACACGCACACCCTCCATCCACACGCAGTCACCCAGATGAACACGCAGCCATCCACAAATTCACCTCACACACGCAAATCCACACACCCTACACCAACACCTGCCAGGCACACACTCCTCCACAGCCCTCTACAAAGACACATGCTCCCTGCACACACAATCCAAACACACACATCACCTGCACCCACACTCCTGTCCGCACAGCCAAAACACTCCCAAACACACCCCATCCACGTAACCCCAACCACTACCTGACAAAAGCACTCCTACAGCCAATTACCAAGACACTCGTCCATACCTGACAAATGGTCCCACACACTCCTGCACGACACACACCCCCCACACTCTCACAGCCTTGCACAAACTTACCCACACTCATTTGCCCTTGATAAGCACACCCCTACACTCCCATCCCCCCCCACACACTACACACACCCTCACCCAAACACACACCCCCTCCACACAGCTTACCCACACCTGAGGGAAAAAACTACTCCCCCGACACACCTATGCTCCCACCCGCAAACAACCCTGCCCATGCATACACCCTCACACACACACAGCCCCCTCACACGAGCACACCCCCCACTCCCCTCACACGAGGGCACAGCCCCCTCACACACACACACCCCTCACACACCACACACACACGCAGCCCTCTCACACAAACCCCTCACACGAGCACAACCCCCCACCCCCTCACACACACCCCTCACACAAGGGCACAGCCTCACACACACACCCTTCACACACACCCCTCACACGCACATGCAGCCCCCTCACACACGCGCAACCCCCCAACGCCCCGCACACACACACCCCTCACACAAGGGCACAGCCTCACACACACACCCCTCACACA